GATCTTTTGGATATTGACTAAGATCATACTGCGATTCATAAATATTCTTATCTACTTGTAAAATAAATTGTCCAGTACCTGCAGCTCCATTTCTTGCTGTTCGTCCAAAAGCTTGTTCTTCTATTCGAATATTATCCGGTAGATAACATAAGATAACATGCATTCCACCTTCACAATTCACTTCTGAATCGACATGAATATCAGTTCCTCGACCACCTTTATTCGTTGCTATGATAATATCACCTTTAGTCGCCGGTTTCTTTCGAAATCGATCTTCAACATTATCTCCATCTCGTCTATATTTTTCAATCGTATGTGATGAAACACCATGTCGAATAAGTTCATTCCAGATATTTTCTGTTGATTCAACATTTTCACAGATAATTAAAACAGGTCGTTTACTAACTTGTTTAATACTTTCTTTAGCGATAAGATTAAGCCAATCGCTATATTCAAATGATACTTTACTAGGAAGTTGATAGAAACATTTCTTTTTCGATGTTGGAAGTTCAACAAATTGAACATGATATAAATCTGATAGAAAACTTTGAGAATTTTCTGAACCTAAGGTTCCTGTTAAACCATAGAGATAATTCTTATATCTTTGAAAAAATGCCTTATTAGAAATAAAAACTGCTTTTAAACTTTCAACAGATAATTTTCGTCGATATTTTAATTCTAAAAATTGTGCTAAACCATGACTCCAACGTGTTGAATATTGTTCAACACCAGTATCTTTATCAAGAACAATAATAGTCTTTTGCTTCTGATTCTTTTGTTCATCTGTTTTAGCTATATCTAGAACGAAATGATCATCTTCACGCATGATACGTGCTTGAAATGCACTATCAATCCATCGTTCAAGTTTTTGATTAACAAATTTCTGCATATAAACAGGTACGAATATATTTCTATTTTCAATATTTTGTTTTATAAAAATCGAAATATCCTTTATATTTTCTGACATATCATCTAAGTTTTTAATTTCAGTTTGAAGTACTGCTGCCCAAATATTAATAAATAATGTTTCAAGATGTTTCAAACTATGAATTTCATGTGAAAGATAAAGAACATGTCGAGCACGATCTAAACACATATTATCAACTTCATCAATAATCAAACATCTATTTCGTTTTTTATATTGATCACTAAAGATTTTCTTATTATTAAATTCATCTTCTAAAATATCTTTTTGAAATCCTCCAACTTCTCCATAGACAATATTACCTTGCGGAGTCTTTAGATCTGGTCGATACGCCTGATGATTAACTTCGTCATCATCATTACAAATATGTCCACTTTCAAGTTTTAATAATTGAAAAAATGAATGACATTTTTGTTCGCCTTCAATTGCTAAATCTCGATTACTAGAAACAACATCGACTGCATGTCCACATAATGCTAAAAATGCTGCTGTAATACCTACAGTAAGAGTTTTTCCTTCACCCGTTCGAATCTGTTCGAGAAGTCCTTTATCAGTACTATGAATAAAAAGTAATAGCGCAACTATTTGAGTATCTTTTGGAAATTGTGGTTTATTAGCTATTGACCAAGCACAACAAATCAATTGAAGAATTTCATCAAGATGAGAATAAACATATTGTGATGGATCATCTTGATAATCTTTAAGATTAAAGATATTCTGAATTTCTTGTTTAATTTGTGATGTATCACATTCGTTTGAATCGATTCTTCTCCAAGCTTTATCACGAATTACGGTCGCTTTGATCGCGATTTGATCAAGAATGTCTGCTTTTATAACATTTGTTTTATTTTTCTGTTCATCTTTTATTTGACGAATAATGTCGGCTGCTTTCGCATCCGATTGATTAACAACGATACGATTTGATAAAATAAGTTTATCTATTTCTTCTGACCAATTTGAATAATCAACTTCTAAAACAATTTTATTTCCTTCTTCAAATGATATTCGTTTAAAATGAATTTTTTCTAATAAATTATTTAATATATCAAGATTTTTAACATCTTCCTTGCCTATTTTATTCGAAACTGTCTGAAAAAACTCCATAAATCTATTATTATTTTCAATAGTCAATTGTACTCGAATACGATTTAAAAATAATAACGTTCTTTCATCAAATTCAATATTAATCTTACTCATTTCTCTACGAAAAATTTGTGAAAATTCTATTTCATATAAAAGAGTATCCCAAACAGTTAATGAAGCATCGGATAATTGATCTAAATTCTTTTTACTTGGACTTACAACATGTAACAATTCAATAATACGAAAGAATTTTTCTTCCTTCAGCTTTTGATAATTCGGCATTGTATCCGAATTCATTTGATCGATATATTGACTAATAAACATATTATTAAATAGTAATAAAACTTTCTCATTGACTCCCGTTAATACATTACGAAGTTGTTCGATTTGATTATCATGTTGTGAATAGATTAAACAAAATTTTTCAATAATATGTTCGACTAACAATACTTTTAACCAATCTTGTTGGGATGTAGTTGATAATCTTTCAATCGCGATTCTTAAATCTTCAAAACAACATAAACAATCGTGTATTTTTTTAAACTCATCGATTTCTACAGATAGTTTTCCATCGATTGTAAATCGATTATTCAATGTTTGAATTAAATTATTAAAATTTAATACTTCATATGGATTTTTCTTATCAAATGTAGAATTACTGTCTAATACATATCCATTTAATTGGTTAAAATCGAATTTATCCTCTACAATAAATGTATGGAATTTCTTTAGACTATTTTCTTGTATTGTACGGATTTTCTCGAAGATTAATTTTTCAATTTTATCATTATTTTTAATATAATTATATAACTGATCATTATCTTCTTGAAAATATTGAGGAAAATAAATAACAACTTCTAACCATTTTGCATTTGAATTCTTTTCAAATAATTCTTTAATAAACTTTTCAATATAAATCATTTTCATTTCTTCATAAATCGTTTTTGTTGATACTTTTAAATATTCATCTGTCTCCGGATTTAACTTTTCAACTATCGACTTTAATCGATCGATATGTATCAAATCATTCTTATTCAATTCACATTTCTCCGCTAATTGATAATTTGAAAGCCTATCAAATAACCATACTAAAAACTCAACAAATTTATCATCAATCAATCCTAATGGTTGATTGGTTTTCAACATCGTATCAAATAGATTTACAATATAAAGTGCAAATTGAATATTAGCTTCATTTGGATAACAACTCTGTTGATGAACTTTAGTTATAAGACTCATCAAATTCAAGAAGTTTTTCCATTGAATTCTTGATTTTTTACAATATTCATAGAAATTTTCGTATATTTGTTTAATTACTTTGGATTTTTCATCGCATTCTTTATATAAAAACGTTAATATTATGTCATAATCTTTGATTTTCTCTTCTATAGTATAATTCGTAGTGTTCATGTGTTTACTAATAACAGATTTCAAATGATTATTAAATATATGATAAGATTCTATTAACTGATATAGTACTTTTGCTTTTACTTCGATTAAATCCGATGAATTTTCGAAGGTATCAATCAGATTATTGAGAAAATTATCGATTTTTTCTTTCGGACTATATTCGATTAAACTCAAAATATCGATAAACGAATCGTCAATACTCTTGTTTGGAAATAAGTTTTCTATTTTCTTTTCAAGTGTTTGATTTATTTCAAAATTTATCTTCGATCTTCGATTGATTTCGCTTAGAATAAGACAGAAATTCAAATTATGTAATTTATTGGAATCAAACAATGGATTTAATCTTTTTGCGATCGTTCTACGCGTGTTCTCATCGATAGTTTCAATATTGAAGAATAATTGATCAAGTGTTTTCAACAGAATCATTTTCTCTTTATAAATAATCGTATCTTTCTTTTGTTTATCAATACATTCAATGATTTCTTTCAAATACTTAAGAGTTGTTTCTATATCTTGAGGGTACTGATTCAATATACTTTCGATTTCTTCTTTCTGATTAGGTAGAAGGTTGCTTTTTCGATCATCTAAAACTCTAAAGATTATTCTGATATCAAATTCATCTGATAAATAATTCCAAGTTTCATAACAAATTGATCTCAATTTGTCTAAATGATCGTTTGATAGACCGAAAAATTCTTTGGGTATTTCTATCGATATTAGTTTCGTTAAACTGATATAAAAGTTGAAAGCTTTATCCGCTTTTTTATTCTTATCAATTACTATTTCTTTAAATAAACGAATGATTTGATCTAAAAGCGAACAAATCGTTTCTGTAAACTTTTCTTTATTATCTCGAGTTGATTCAATATTCTTCTCATGTTCTATACTTTGAAATTTTGTTATTTTATAATCAAAAACGACTTGTATAAATTCAAGAACATTACTAATCGTTTCATCGATTTTTTTCTGATTTAAAATCGTTTTAATTACCGAAGAAATCGTTTGAATTGTTTCATAGGAAAATCTATCTCGATTATTTATTGTCCAATTGAGAAATTCGATTATTTTATTTGGTTCAGAAATGTTAACACACGTTTCTATTTGTTGAAATATATTTTCTACTAACGATAGATCATATAACGTATTAAAAGCATCGATTTGTTGTTCAATTGTAAATATATTTTGTTTCTCTTCAAATGTTTTTCTTACTTGAAACGCAAATAATCGATTTAAATCATTTGATTGATATATTTCATCTAAATCTTTCTTCTTATTCGGACTAATTTTATTTATTCGCATGTTTTCAATACTAATAGAAAACTGAAAGATAATATCAGAGAGATATGATCGTGGATTATGAATAAGTATATATTCAATTTCAACGATTTTTTCAATTAATTTATCGAAATATTCTTCTTGGACATTTATCAAACTTAAATTATTATAAAAAATCAAAAGAAAATCATTGATAATTGTTAATTGATCGGGATTTGTCAATAAATTTTGTAACGCATCGTTTCTGTTTTCATTAAAGAATGAACTTTTAGAAAAAACTGTTAAGATTTCTAATAAATTCGAGACATTACAATCTAGATTAAAATTTTTAATAGATTCTATTAGTTCTGTTCGATTCTCATCATACAAAGTCGGATCAAAATCATACGCAAAAAATTCTTTTAATAAAAATGATGATTTTAGATTAAAATTAAGTTGTTTTATTTGAATATCGTCTGCTATTCGAAGAATTTGTAGAAGATCAATTAGATTTCTTTTGCCTTTTCTTACTCGATCATCTTCAGAAGATTTTTCAATACATTTCAATGTTTTTCCTATCCAAACTAGCCAATATTGTCTTGAAAATTCTCTATTAAAACCTTTGAAAAAGTCGATTAATAAATCTAATACATGACTATATTCCGGCCATGATGTTTTCATTATTAAATCATCTATTTTTTCTTGTTGATTTCGAAGATATTCTAAAGCGACTAAACTATAATTCGATTGTTGTAAATTATAAAGATAATCGTAAGTAAAATTCGAAATTTTTTCTAAATCAATCTCTTCCGGTTTACTACATGTATCGATTAATTTCTCGAGAAAATCATGTCCAAGTCGAAAAAGATTTTCTTCATTAGGTTCTTCATTAAATTTATTTCTAAACTCAATCTTTTTATAATAGATGTTCGTTTGAAATCGTTTCCATTTTTGTTGATCCAAATCTTCCTTTAAAATTTCAATATTCTGTCGTGATAGAATTGTTTTCGAAAGATCTTCTTTTGGTGTTTCTATTAATATTTCTGCACGTCGTTGTGTAGTAGCAAAACGTTGATGAAATCGTTGTTCGTTTATAATTCGATTGATTGTACTTTTTAAACTTGCTATTTCAATACTTCGAATTTCTAAACCTGTTGCTAATTGATTCACATTGACTTTTTCCATTTCATTTTGTAATTGTTGATAAACAGCTTGATATTGTTTCTGATAATCACTATATTGAGTGAAGATATGTTGTGCTAATAGAATAATTCCAATATTCATTTGATTGGTATCGAGTTTTTCTCGTTGAAGTTTTTCATTTTCTTTACTTAGAATTTGAAGAAAATTTTCTTTCAGAATCAACAATTGTTTCGCATCATGTTCAATATCAGGTAAAGTTTGTACTGTATACGAAGGAATTTCTTCTAATTCAGCCATTTTTTCTATAAATTCTTTTAAACTTGAAGCTAACCAATGTTGATAAGATGCTACTTTTTTAGGATTTATAAATGGTTCGAAAAATTTCGATGATTGCTCGAAAACATCATGATGATTTATCCCATGAATTTGATGAACAACTTCTTGATTTTTATGTCGATTGAGTTTTTCAGAACCTCTGTGAGCTGTTTTATCGGGATAATTGCCTTTAAATCTATCATCAGTTTCATTGTATACCATGGGTAGCATAGAATAGTCCTGAAAAAACTGCTTTTCGGGATCATCACGTCTTTCATCGTGAGGAAGACGACCACGTTTTAAATTATCTATTCCTCGACTTGACAATGACGCTCGGCCAGGATTTATCCAATTACTTATACCTACATAATCAAGTCCATCTTTACCATGCTTTCCAGCTTCACCAGGTTTTCCCGTTTTACCATTTTGACTTTTTGAGTTTTCAAGAACAGCACGATGTTGAACCTCTGGACAGTTGCCTTTCAGCGCAATAATTTTTATTGCTCCAGAATTACCATGTTCACCAGCAAAACCACCTGAACCAGCATCTCCTCCATTGCCACCAGATCCACCATCAGTGCCGAGATGTCGATGACGATGTGACCAACCCCAACCGATCAATGCCCATGATTGTTCTAAACCTTTCTTCAAAGCGTCTTTGTCAGCATGTTTTCCATCAATACCATCTAAACCTGATGTTCCATTTCCACCATCTTGTCCGCTTCCTTCTTGTCCACCACGAACTGATACTTCGATTGAAGGTAAATAATTGGCGACAACATAAATATTCCCAGCACTTTTTCCATTTTTTCCATCCGATCCATCTTCTCCTTTATTTCCATTTCTATTTGCATCTGCTCCAATACTATTTTTAGCGGGTTTATCTTTCCAAACATCTTTCGCATTTTCACCATCAGTATACATTTCTAATGTCGTTATATTCTTAACTAATTCTTGACATGGACTAATAATAACAATATTTACTCCTGAATATTCTCGACTAGATAGATGAACGTCAATGTAGAGTTTATCGCAGTTAATAATTCGTATTTCATTATTTGAAGAAAAACAATCGGGATGTTTATCTTTAATATTTTTCAAAATTTGACTTAAAACACCAGATGTTGTTTTTATTTGAAAAATAACGTATTCATTTTGCTTGAAACTCTCGATTTCATACCAATTAACATATCCATTTAAAATTTTCTTTAAATTATTTACTTTTTCTTTAAAAATAGGCTTAAGAGTATGATTTGCCTCTTCAAAAACAGGTTTTATTATTCGAGCACATTCACAATTTTGTTTTTGTAAACTTTCAACTAGAGTTCTATACGTAAGAAAATTCTTATCATAATAATAATTTGAATCATTCAAGCTACGTAACGTCTCAATTATTAGATTTCTCATTCCTTGACTTTCTATAGCATCATATGTCGTTAGTAATTCATAGAGTTTTTTCTCAAAATTATTAAAAGCTACTAATGCGTCATAACGATAAGTTAATAAATTCGATATGAAGTTTTCTACTATATTGATAATACATTGTCGTAGACATCCACTAATTTCAGCACTACCTTTCTCATCTGCATCTCTAAGAAAACATTCGCATTCTTCTACTATATTATTCAATTCATTCTTATTAAACATACTGACAATGCTCTTTATATCATCAAAAGTTTTATTTGATTGAAGTCGATCAAGAATTTCTTTATGAATTTTACCATCCACAGAAAATACTTCTTGTTCAGGTAAATGATCATATTTTTCGTTAAGACATTGCAGAAATAATCTACTAAATTCTGGTAAAATCTTTGCTACTTTTGCGAATCGTTTTAACATCTTTGTTAAATCATCAAGTTTCTGTTGTAAATAAACAAAATGACTATGACTTTTGTTATTCAATTGTAATAAAAGATTATCAATAACTTCAGATGGTATCGTATTCGGAGAACAACGAAAAATTTTAATTATTTGTATATAAAAAGAAATTTTCTGATCATAATCGACATCTTCTAGATTCACTGAATTTAAAATAGATGAAGCACTACTCAGTAAATGGTTACTAGGTATTTGATTTACCACAATATCTTTAATAGAATTAAGTAAATAGTGATGAAGATTTTGTTCGAAAACTTCCATTGAATTTAATGATTTATATCGAAATGAAACTAAACTATTCATATAACAATCTACTTCTTCCATCATTATTTGTCTCAGATGTGTTCCTACGTAATACGCAGTTCTCTCATCGTTCATTGTAATCGAATTACGAAATGAGCTAACTATATTTTTTACACTCTGTTTATCATCTTCAAATAGATTCTCGATACATTTTTCAATATCATCAAAATTAGAAATTTGTTGATAAATATCAACTCTTAATCTCTCATTAATAGTTGATAATTCCAATAACTCGTAGTTACACGGTAAAAGACGTTTAAATATAGATTGAAATGATTCGAACGATTCTTCTATTTGAATAAATCGTTCAATGAAACATTTAATTGTATCTAAACTCTGCTTAGCACATTGATTTGTCACTACAATATTTTCAATTTTACATTTTTGTAATTCATTTGTTAGATATCTGCATTCTAAAAGGAATTCATGCGCAGGTATAAAACTTTTTCGAGTTTCAAGATAATCTCCAAGAGAATTTAGAAAATTTTCATAACTTGTTGAATTCGCATCATTAGACTTTATCATCTGTTTTATTCGTTTTGTATAATCGTAATTTTTATCTACGATCGTTAATAAGATATTATGATGAAGTTTGTCTTCGAAATACTCGAAATTTTGAAGAAGTTTCTCTTGTAAAGATAATAGATCAAACGAACATTTCTTAAGAATTTCAAACATAATATCAACTATTGAATTAATTTCTAAGTATTCCTTTTTTCTCGGATCTTCAGTCGTATTTTCAAGATTTTCAAGCGTGTTAATACATTCTTTCAGTTCATCATTAGAAACTACTCCTTTATTTAAATCACTTATCTTGTCTAATATTTCATCAAATCTTTTAATAGTAGTAAATTCTTTCGATATCTCTTCAATACGAGTTTTCATTTCCTGACCTTCTAAAACAGAAGAAAAGATTTTATAGAGTAAACTTTTGAATTTCTCAATTATTTCACGAGTTTGTTCATCGAGAAAATTATCTTCTATATATTCTGATATTGCTAATTTCTCACTATTTCCAATGTACCATAATTTAATTTTCTCGATATTATTTTTATTTGAAAATTCTTGTTTAGAAAAATTTCTCTTCAAAAATGTCCAATAATTCTCATTTGCCGCCCATTGACAAGCCGTAGCATTGAAATAGGCATGTAATAAACTATTTTCTGACATAAACCTTTGCTTTGGACATTCAATAAAACGAACTTCATAAACACATTGATCTTTAACACCTGTAAACCATTCTAAGAATTTTTCATTTATCTTTTCATAAGTCGAATCTATTACATAGATGTATCGTAAATGAAAATCAAATTTATATTCTCGTCTACTTTCGACAACTAATGTGATATAATGTTTGTTGGATAGTTTTCCTATACAAATAAAATTTCGATCGAGATTACGTATGATCTGTTCTTTAAAATCGTGAGCATGTTTCGCTTTTCGTAAATCATAGATTTCAATTTCTTTTTTCGATAAGCATTGGGGGTTGATGAAATAATATTGCGAAGAAAGCGACTTTGTGGATAAAAGTTCTTCATCGTTTCGAAATATTTTCGATAAATATTTCAATATTTGATCTTCGTTAAATAGAAATTTTTTTGTTTTCTCTTTCTGTTCGATATCTTCTGGTAAAATATCTCTTAAGTATAAATCTATATTCTTCAACTCTTGTTTTTCATCAACAAAACCTTCGTAGATTCGACCAGAAGCTGTTTCTTTATACAAATACCAACGATCGGAATTCCGCATAAACTTCGGTATAAAATGATAACTACATTGAACTAATATAAGAAGGTATCTTTTTTCAAAAGGATTTTCTTTTTCAAACTGAACATTTTCTTTCTGCCACTTTTTTACGCACTCATTCTTATCTGTTTGTATCGAACAAAAACGCCAATCGATTGTGTGAACACAATTAAACGAACGTTTTAAATCTTTAATTTGATCAAGATATGGAAGAATGTTAGAAAAAAATTCCTCTTCATCAATCTGATCATTTAAATTTTTAACGATGTTTTCCGACGAAATTGGAAATAAACTCAAAGGAAATCGATTACATACATGTTTATCAGTGTTTTTCGCTAAACTGCTGTTTATTTCGAACGAAGAAGTAATTTGCTTTCGACGCTTCATTTGTTCTTTGGAGAAATAAGAGAAGGCTTGTTCATATCGTTGCTCCAATGGGTAATTTCCAATAAAACAATACGCTTCTTTTAATAATTGACAAAAACGAAGTATTTTTGTTGTCTTGCATTTCAAATTAAAAACATTGTCTTTATCAACGGCGTACATCTCCAATACTTCACTTAAAACTTGATTATTAACTTTCTTCAAATAGATATGATTCAAAAATTTACTTAAGAATGATTTATTATCGATTTCTAATTGAAAAACTTCCGTTTTTCTATCTGGTAACGAAAACCAAGTTTCCCAATGATGCTCGTTTTTCTCTGGACTATAGATAAATAAAATCGATCGAGTATTTGATTTTTTACACATATCTTTCCATTTCTGAACTTCTAATTGATAATCTACGACTTTTTCTGGTTTTTTCACGGAATAATATTCGATATCATCTTCTTGCGGTTGTGACAAAGCAACTTCACATTCCATAACTTGCCGTAGATTTACAATTAAATATTTCCGTAATTCATATTCATCGAGCTTATCTTTGAGATTTTCTTCGGATGAGCCGCGTAAAAACTCTAAATAATACTCTACTTGATCGATACAACCGATTTCTAAATTACATTCAACTAGTGCGCATAGAATTTCAATTAAAGAATTCGAATCTATTTGATCTTGAAGTTTTTCTTCAAGTTCTTTTCGTTTTCTTTTTAACGAATAATATTTCCTATTAACCGATACATGATTTTCAAGATCACAAACGGAATCGAGAAGATATTTCGCATCTTTTACAATGTCGATATGATTAGTTCTGGGATTGTTTTGATCAAATTGATCTATACATTTCTTTAAAAATTCCCTTACTGACAATAAATTATCGTGAACAAGACCATGCCGATAATATTCATAGTTTACTAATGCTATATCATAGTAAAGCTTAGCGGTAAGATACTCATATCCTAATACAATTCCATTTTGTAAACGATTTCTTAATACATGACAATATTCACTTATTTCTTCGGATGATTTTATCGCTTGTTGTTTGATTTGCGCAAGTCTTATTTTTTCTAATAAACAAATTTCATGACTCTGCATGACTTTTTCAAGTATAACTACAATAACACTAAGTTGTGCAATGCGTCTCGTAAGTTTCAAATTCTTACCTGACTATATTGCAACACAGAATTCAGTTGATAGCACCAAATTTAATCTACAAAAAGTTTTTTGAAACAGATTGAGTAATATAACGTAGTCGACGAAATTAATTGAACAGATGCATCTGAAAATAATCGATTCATGAATGTTTATAATATACGGATCACTTGTCGCCGCAAATCTCTTTTCTTAATTAGTTGTCCGACTCGGAATGTAACAATATCAATACTGTATTCATTCTTCTAGCCTATTAAAAGTTCTTTAACAATATTCAGGAATTCTCTGAGTGATTGTATCATCTAATAATGATCGAACAGATGGCGTCTGATCAAACATATATATCTAAATAGTCAGAGCGATGCACAAACTATTTTCATAGAGTATACACGTGATACTTTGCTTTACTTAGAAGGGTATAAATTAAAAAAACAGTATCATAGGTACTTTGCTTGCATAGCGGATATTCACTGTTAGAAATGCTGTTTTCATTCGCCATTTATTATGAGATATCCATGATATACCAATCCTCTCATATAAACTAAATAGAAGAATGATAAAACTACGTATTTCATCATCCACATGACATGATGCTTCTAACCTTCAAAGCAAGCAATAAGAAAAAGAGAACAGACAAAAACATCGATGTTATCAGAGAAATCGTTTTATCATGTTTGAAGAAAGAGATGTCACTTAATAGTGTGCAAAAGAATTATTGATAAAAAAAAATCTAAACAGAATATTTTCCTTGGATATAGTCTTACAACCAAAACGTCGACACATATAAATTAAAATAAACATAGATAAGCATCTGAAAGAAAAACGTAATAATTTCTTTATATGACAGTATGATTGATGTAGTGATAAGTTTAGTTAATAAATTAGTTATTAGCTCGCGTCATCTATAATGATGATATTTTTATTGCTTCATGATTACTCTAATATATGGCTTTCTGTTCTGTTATTATTTATGCCGAATAGGAGGCTTACACGTATTTATCAAAATATTTGTTGAATGTTTCGTAAGATACTTTTACCAAATGTTAACGTCAATATGTTTTTTCTCATGATGATGGTGTTTTACCTTCATTGTCCTATTTTTTATCTTTCGAATCCTTCTTTTATATTAGTTAATTATACAAATATATTTTAATTGGTCGCCTTTTTTTTTCAAATATAACTCTCTTCGTATGCAAATGATCTGTATTGTTTAATTTAGATTATCGAATTTTTATATCTGTGAGAGTACGAGTTCAAGACAACTACTGGATTTGAGATTATCAAAATACGTCAAATTTATCAAACTTACTTCAAACAGGTGATTTAATTTCTTTTATTCGTATGATTTTCGACTATTCATTACTTCAAAGCAGTATATAAAACTACTTTGCTTTGTTTTAGATGTCCATTTCAAAAATACTTTTGGTTTAATTTTTATGAAATCTGATCGTTATTTGATTATATAGTGACAATCAACTGTAAGTGTTTGAGAACTTTCAAATTCAGTTTTAAGTTATTCCTTCTAACATATTTCACAGTTGCGCGTAGATAATGTTTTGGGAGAAAAAACAAGATAAATCAATGGAGGAAAAGCCTAATATTCGAAATATCAGATCTGTTAGACCATTTAACAAGAATAAAGATGATCAGAGTAGTGATGATGATGGAGTTGATGTAGCTGATTTATCATGTATGCCTGATATTTCAGTTGTAAAACGAAAAGAAAAGAAAATCTATCAACATCTTTTACCAATAGATAATGGATTTTATGATGGAGCATTAGACGGAAATCTTTTGCGTGAAGGATTAGGTACATATAGTTTTAATAACGGTGAAGAGTACTATTCGGGTTTATGGAAAGATGATAAACCATGTGGATATGGTTATCAGTTTAAAGGTTACGGTTCGACTATATGTCATGGTGATTTTCATGATGGAAAACTTAAAGAAGGTTATGGAAAAATTAAAAAAGATGATGGATATGAATATAAAGGTACAATTAGAGATGACAACTTTCATGGTCTAGGAATTCTATCAATTAAAATAGCAGGTCTTAGAGATATGAATAATATATCTGTATATAAAGATACTCTTAAAATTGTAGCTGAGTGGAATATGGGAAAAACAGATGTTGTTTATCTCGATGAAATTCAGGCATATTATATAGATCAACATAAAATTTTCTGTGAGAATCTATCGTCTATTCTTTCATCGAAGAATGAAAGTCTTCGAAAACAAAGACAATATTTTCAAATTTTAATTGATTTAGACGAGCGTTTTTTAGATCTTAAGTTATTATACGAAATAGGAGCACATCCTCAACTACCGAAAAAGTTAAAGTCATCAGCTGATCTATTGTATGTGCTAGATAATAGTTATAGAAATTTGAGCAAATATACCATAATTTCAGGCACATTGGAATCTTACAATCAGTGCGTTAAAAGTATTTGCGAAAAGAGTTTACAAAGTTATGTACTAAAATTAGTTTCAATAGAAGATTTATATGAATCCAATCGTATCCAAGCGAAAGACATCTTTGATAAAAAATTAAGTTGTTTTACAGAAAAATCTCGATTACAAGATCTCAGTCAAATCCTATCATTCAGTACATTAGTCATTGAGATGATTAAGAAATTTATAAGCTCTGCCAATGAAAGATTGACTCACGTTTCCTCGTCACATCGATCGGAATACATTGAAAGTCATACAAAACTAATAAAAGCTATTTGGACGGATTATCTCGAACTCGCTGATAGATCAGAAGATGAGAACGACGAAAGATATCATTTTTATATCGCCTGTTATGAAAATTTATTACAATTATCTTTCATAAACCCATCGCTGAGTGAACTCGAATCAGTGGACGATCCTAGACGTAAAATAGAATGGATTATTTATAAAGCGATGATATTTTCTTTAAATAATCTCAAACCTTGGAGAGCTATTAATCTGAACGTTTTATCATCTTATTTTGACGATAAATCCATACATGAAGATATGTTGATTAAAGAAATAGGAGATAGATTAATAATTCAAATTGTAATAGGTACAAAAGTTGAAATGATACAATTTTTCCAAAGAAATAAAAATGACGTGTCGGATATTTTTGAATCGATCATCGCCTATTATACGAATAATTTGTTAAATAGTGTTCATTCAAATTATCAAAGTAATATACAAGAAATTATTAAGATGAATGAATATTTTTTACAGATATCCGAAACAAAAAATGCTCTTGCTAGAGATACTATAGTAGATTTACAAGTCGAATCAATAAAAACATTTATTAAAATCCCCGGTAGTCTTTCGAAATATATTGATCATTTTCTAAGTTTTAATTCCGAGCTTTGTAGATTATCTGAACTTTTTAGTAACCTTTTCCCGACTACTATTAATACTGGATTTGATAAGATAGCATCAGAAATTGTATCTTCGATAGAAGATCTATTTAAGGTTACTCTTGCAAAAGATCGTAGTGTAACTACAAACACGGAAACTTCAGATGAGCTTGAGAGTGAATTGTTTGCTTTACAGGCAATAAACAATTTTTTGACAAATTTAGCTTCTTTAAATTTTTCTTGGATTGTCGAAAAAAGTCGAATCTCGTCATCCAGACAGAATCTATCAAGCTTTAGTTGGGTTTTCGGAAAAAGAGAAATCCCATCATGCGATAAGAATTTATTCAAACCTGTAGGAATTAAAGAGCTGTATCACGTAACAAATATCGAAGCAGCTAGCGCAAAAGTAAGAACGCCGTATTGTCATTATATGTTAGAAATAATTAGAGACTTACTTAATATTATTAACAGTAAGACATTGCCCGATCGATTCACTTCGTCCGAAAAAATTCGAATACGAGCGGAGTTAACTATGGGAATATCAAAATCGTTTGTATATTTATCCGATCAAATAAAGTATAATAGTTTAAAAAAATTTAAAGAAGAGTTTATTTCTATATTTAAATATACTATTAAAGATATCGAGTCTTACGAAGCATTTCATAGTAAATTAGAAAGAGTTGAACCATATTTTTTATATGATAGAAAGTTGAAAGAAATTACTGTTGATCAAGCTTTGAAGAGTTTTCAAAGTAAAAATAAAACTTTATCTGAATCTGAATCTAAGTTACTAAAAAAAGCTTTTTCGAGTTATGAAAAATGTTTTGGAAGTTATTCTCATCGTATCATTCATAAAAAATCTTTAACAGTTGAAGATGTAATCGAACATACGCGAAAGATCGCGCGTAAACCAGAATTTGAAAAGAAAACTATTCCAGAGATTATTGCTGGACTTTCAATTATACTTTCATTAAGAGTTTCAGATTTTATTGAGAAAAATCGTGAAAATAAATATGTTTTGAAAGATAAATTTAATAAAGATTGTTTCCTAAAACCACATTGTATTCAAATTCTCGGTCTATTCATATTGCTTAACATGACTGTTGAAAATGAAGATTTTCCACCAAATCATCTTGCAGAAATCGTTACTGGACAGGGCAAATCTTGGGCATTAGCACTGTTAGCTGGATACTTTAGTTCAATCGGTTATCAAGTTACAGTTAGTTGTTATAGTGAATATTTAATGGAACGAGATAAGAAATCTTTTCGAAAGTATTTAGATCCGTTTAATTTTAATGATTCAGTTAAATATGAAACATTTAAATCAATGTGCGAAGAACAACTTAGAATAAAAGATCAAAAACATAATCTACGAAGTATCATTTCAGATATTTTAAAAGGAGAAAGTCTTTTACCTGTAGATAGGAAAGAAAATGATAAACAAAAATCTATTCTCTTAATTGATGAAGTTGATGTCTTTTTCTCAAATGAATTCGGTACTGTATTTTCGCCTGGACTTCGTATTGAAAATAAATTCATAGCGAAAATTCAGAAAGATATTTGGAAAAATGTTGTTCATGGTAAAACTGATAAAAATCAAATACAAAAATCGATTGAAAAAGAATTATACAAAGTTTCTGATCAAGATAAATTGTTATCAAATTTATTCAAATCGAATTTGTTAAATCAACACCTGAAATACATGATAGATGCTGCTGTAGAAATTTATCAAGATATGAAAAATAAAAATCAATTACGAGAAAAATATAGAATTGAAGATAAAATTATAAAAACAAAGGATATTAGCGGAAAATTTGTTTCTACGATTTGGTATGGATATGAAAACAGTTTTTATTATCTTAAATTAATGTATGAAGAACAGAATAATTTTAATGAAGCGGAATTAAACGAAAAGAATTTTGGATATTTATCAATTCCATGTGGACTTCTTTCATATTCTGAACTTCCGAAGACTTATCATAGAATATTTGGTGTTAGTGGAAGTTTACAATGTTTATCGGATGCTGAACAATCATTATTGACATATTATAATATTCATCAAAGATCTTGTTATCCATCATTTTTCGATGGTTCACGATTAAGATTTGATCCATGTTATGATTATCTTATTGTCGAATCAGAAGAAGATTGGTCTGAAAAAATTATTATTCATGCTCGAAGACATACTTCGAAAAATAGATCCGTTTTAATATTTTTCTATGATGAAAAACAACTGAATAAGTTTTATCAATCTTATTCAGGAGATTTAGGAGTTGATCCATTTTATGTTACACAAAATGAGATTTATGATGGACAAAATTTAAATAGTATTGATATAGAGAAAATTATAAAAGATCAATATGCTGGTCATCATGGTAAAATAACTTTATTGACGAAAGAATTCGGAAGAGGTGTAGATTTTCAGGCAGAAGCTAAAGTAAATGAAAACGGTGGTGTGCATGTCATTCAAACATTTTTCTCTGAGAATATTAAAGAAGAGATTCAGATAAAAGGAAGAACAACGAGAAAAGATGATCCGGGAAGTTATGAATTGATTCTGTACCTTGAACATTTACAAAATCCTGAATTAGCAAACATGAAAATACCGAAATTTAAAAATGTGACAAAAGATACACCGTATGATGAGTTAGACAGACAGAGGACAGAAAATGTTAACTTATTTTGTCAAGAAAAGATTCAAACGATTAGAAACGACAGCAAAAATCATAAAAAAACACTATCATTTTTTCAGAGAGCAATTAGTGAATGTAACGATACTAATCGTAGTAAATTTATAGAAGAGATTATGAAATTACCATAACCAAGATGTTAATTTTATTGTATTGTATATTTTTCTGTAGTGTTTATTTTTTGCATTGTAAATAGTCTTTGCTCTGAATTTTTTATTGTAAATATTATTCCCGTTCTTTTACACCAACTTATCATTAATTTAAATCCAACATTGTTCAAACGGTTGAATCAATCATTATTGGTTAATTGTTAAATTCGCAAGCAAAATAATTTTCAATATGTACGTGTTGTTATTTGAATTTTCTTCTTTTCTTTCGAATCTCTTTTTTCACTTTTTATATATACGTCATTTTGATAGTCTTAAAAAATCTATTCAGAAGTTTATCATTAATTCAGATCTTTTAAAACTTTTTTAGTATTGCAGATCAAAACAAAATGCTTTTCACATCGGTACTTCGATGGTTTATGTTCTACTTTCTAATAAACAATGTATTTGGTAATGCCGAAGATATATTTGATATGTTCGGTGATACTCATACTCCAGTTACGAAAGAAGCTAAGGTAGATAAAGTTGAAATCAATCCAACTACAACAGTAACAATGAAGACTGTTGTTGATCATGTATGAGAAGATTATAATTATTTTCCTACTTCTTTTAATTAGCTCTATATTCTAGAAAAAGAATAGTGTACCTTCGGCATCATATGAAAATCAATATCGAACAACAATCATTGCTTATCGTAGTGTACTCGAAGATTGGACACAAAAGCTTCCGGTAAGAATTTTATTATATCATTTGAAATCATTTTGCTAAAAATTCAAACTATATTTAGTCCGAAGATGCTGGACTATATCGACTGATACTTCAATTATCTCCTGATGATATAGTTCGTCTTAAGAACTTTGCAAAGAATACAAAATATGACGAGATTTTAAAAGAAGTACATGCGGTATCAACACTTCTTCAGCGAAGTGCAATTAGAATTGAAGAACTTAAACCGTCACATTCTAAGTTAACACGGTTAGAATGGATACAATCAATAGATGGAAATAAAATAGTTTTAGTAAATATCGTTCAATTGATATTAAATGATTAACTTTTTTATCTAATGTCTTGCTTTTATTTTAGTTTGTACTTGTACCGATTAGCATTGGATTACTTATGTTTATTAGTATTCAAGCTCCTCATAACTTTCGACGATGGTTTACAAGTTTCTTGGTATTTGCATTTATGACTTCAGTTTTTCTAAATTGTTTGAGACTTTACATGGTTCGTTTATATTAATTTTGACCAATGACATATATATATATATATAGTAAATATACTCTATAGGACTCACTCGCGGAAGTCGATGCAACTCTTATTAAAACATTACCAGAACATTGCCTAAGTTATTCACATGGATTTTTCCATAATTTAAAAACTGCAATTTCTCGAACAGTTCAAGTTCCACATGATGATTGTGTAGAATATCAAAAAGCATTGCGCAGGTTACCTCATGCGGATGCAACGTTAATTAAGGTAATTTGTTTTTGTATTTATGACACTTATTTTAATGAAAGTTTCCTTAAGGGTATATCGCTTACTGTTACCGAATTTTTTACCACACCACTTGGTAAAATAGGCGAGGGCATATCTAAATTCTTTGGTGGTTTAATGCTTCATGTACCCATTGCAATGTTGCCAATAGTTTTTGGTTTCATTGGATTTTTTTTATTCTTATTCGTTATTACAAGGAAAGGTTATGGACTGTCAGCAATGTATGGACTAATTTCTTTCCATCCAGTTCATCCACCTGCTATTACAAAATCAGATAACGCTTTAGAATTAAAAGAAGAAGAATTAAAAGAATCGAAGAAAAAAATTGAATATTTACAACGCCAAATAGAACACTTGGAAAATGAAAAGCTTGCACTTAAAAGTAATGAAACTTCATCAAAGATCGATCAAAACTCCAACAAATATAAAAGAGCTCTTGAAAGTGAGCCTTCTCAATCAAGTCACAATGCTATTGTTCCTGAATCAGATAGTGACTCTTCTGACAATATAGGTGATTAATGGATAACTTTTATTGCTTCATGTATCCAACGTAGCTATACATGTAATATTTTATTATGTGAAGTGTTTTTTTCTGCATAAATAAACCCGATGAACTTTATATAAACATAGGTTTTTTTCAGAGAAAAAGTGATCAGCTAATTATTTCCTCTTGATGCCGCTCGAATCATCAAGATGCGTTTATCATACACATGTAACTGAAAGGAAATTGGTTTTACGAGAACACTTGTCTCATCTATCTATGGATAAATGAGATATCAGACAAAGTAACTGAAGCAAAAGAGCTACTCAGGTCGATGAGGGTGTGGGTGTGGATGAGTGCGTGTAGGTGTGAGTGTTCATGAAGGTGCACGTCTGCGCGTTGATGTGGGTGAATGGCTCTCGAGACTGGGTCACTCTCTTTTCTTCACTAAGATCTAGATCCACATCCACACTCACACCCTAGAAAGAACTAATACAAAAAGCGTTTCTCCCTAGCTTTGGGAGACTTTCTTCCTGAACTTCTCCTGCCAAAAATATCGAACGAAAGCTCTGCAACCGATTTCTGATGATCTGAACAGACAAACATCTTTGTTTTTTACAGAAAGAAATATTCTTTTTATATTACGCAAATAAAAAATGGTTGTAGGAAACTGTTTTCGACCGAAGTTCGTTTATTTTCAAGTAAACAAGTTGGATAAAATAAGAAAGTTAGTTTATTTCAACGTATAGTGGTATAGGAATTTAGCGGTATAACATTGCTCAATCAAAAGTACCAATCCGTTCGCGTCTCTGTTTTGCAACCCGACGACGTTGACGTTCAACTTTTAAGCGTTCAACGCGTAAATGTTCTTCCATTATATGATATCCAGAACTATTTGCTAATTCTGCAGGTGAATATTGAGCTTTAAATAGACCCGTAGTTTTCTGATCCAGTAGTTCTATCATTTTGATTAACACAGATTCCTCTAATACGGACATTAGATTAATTAATTCCAATGGTTTTGAATATAATAATACAAGAGCCGCAATAATTTCGCCGTTAGCAGCAGCATAATGAAATGAATTCCATCCCCATTTAAACGTACCATTACTCTGTCGGAAATCTCTTTCTTTTACTTCTCTACGAGTTAAAACTCGATTTATAGAAAGTGCATCTTCAAGATAATGTAATATTGATGGAATATGTCCTAGTCCTGCAGCTAATGATAAAGAACGATGATTAGAATATGTATTTAATCTAGGATATTGAAGGCGATCTTTACAAGGCCATCGATGGCTTTCAAATAATGTTTCTAGTAGACCAGGTATATTTTCGTGATGTATATTGAAATCATTAACAGAAAATAATGCGTCGATGTTATAGTATGCTTCAGGTTCACGCATAGGGCGAGTAGGGTAATATGAAACTCTTTTTGGTGGAGGATGAATTCCCACCAATTGTGGAGGAAGATTAGAACGGGTTAGTAACTGAATACATAATTTATTAAATGAATCATTTGTATTATCCATTTCTGTAATTTTATTCCATGCAGCTTGCCATAATAATGATAACGTTGTAGGATCAGTAGTATCCATTGCAACGGTTATATCTATATTTGGTGATATTCGAATATATTGTTGACGCAATTCACTCCTACAATAGTCTGCGGGATTATTATATCCTACAACTTCATTTATTTCTGCTGCATTATATATAAAACCAAGTACACCACGAATCTTTGGAAGAGCTGTTGGGGCTGCATTTGAATTTCCCAATGAAAGTAGAAAAATCTTATCTTTAGGAATCTGACGAACTGTTGTCGCCCATTTTAATGCAATATAATCGGGACGATTAAATCGATAGCCACCATCATAAAATGTATATGCAATTCCATTGATATCAAGCGTTTTATGTGGAAAAAAAGGTGCTCCAGCTGATGTACAACGAACTACATCTCTCAATAAAGTATTACATGAATGTCGAAGTGCAAATATATTATCCGGTTCATGTGGATTGTAAAAATATAAACCAGTTTTTCTAGGCGAATTTGCATGATTTATAAATAAAGCAGGTCCTTGTTTATGAATTTCAGTTGGAATTATTAGATCATGACTACCACAATCTGATAAACGTTTACTTGGTAATTGTGCTTTCAATACTTCCTCAATTCCATTCGACGAATATTTTGAATGTCGGATCAGCCATAGTAGACGTTTTTTAAATATTTTAAATCGACGTGGGCCTATATATATACTTAATAGATCTTTTGCTTTCATTGGTCTTTGTTTAGCTAATCCACATGCCAATATCCCTCCGGTTGAAGTGCCAGCAAAACAATTAAATAATTCGCCAATATATTTACCAGTTCGTCGTTCAATTTCCATTAAAATAATTGCTTCAACAATACCTCGAATACCACCTCCATCAAGAGATAATATATTATAATACCCAGGTGGAGCAGGGTCCAATGTTGGTAATATTTCTGGCGCACGTATTTCATCTGGACCAGAGTGATGTAGAACATTAGAATTTTTATCTAAATTGGGAATACTTGAAGCAGATGAACTATTGGTTTCATGCTCATTTTGCCGTTGATGCAATGTTGGAATGGCATCCGATGGATTTGCTAGTGATCTGGTATGTGCATTAAGCGTTGGCAGTCGATTATCTTGTTGCATATATGAATTCCTTGATTTGCTGTTATTTTCATTGGAATCATCGTATTTAATGACACTTTCGATATAATTTGACAAAGTTTCATTATTGAATGAAAATGGTGCTTGTTTACAAGACATTTGTAATGTTTTTAAAAACGTTTCCAAATTTGTTAAAATTTGCAAAAGTTCTGTACTTTGTAATTCATCAATATTTCTTTTTATTTTTACAGTTGCTAATGCATCATAGTAACATTTAAATGTAACATCAAGTAGTTTTTCATCATATTTGATAGAACATGTTCCAATTAATATATTTAAATTTTGAAAATAATCACTCAAATATTCTAACGACGATAAATATTCACGATCGTTATTGCTCTGTTCAATTGAATAAAGTAAATGTTTTTGTAAATATTTATTAACTTTCAAGTAAAGATTCAAATTTCGATTCTGTTGTAAAATCATCAGAAATTATTTTATCTTTTTGCGATGATACTGATTTATTAATATTTATCATATAATTTGCATCTAGTAAAGCTGTAAATGCAGCTTCAAATTGTCCAATACTTGTACATAAAAATGATCGAATTAATAAATATTCAATTCGTTGTTGTTTATTCAGAATTGATGCATTGATATCATTCATATGTTTAGATTTTTCTTTTAGTTCTTTGTAATAACAATTGTCGACAATATTGGAATTATTTAAAAGTTCTAAATCAACATTAACACCATTCCAATCATCAATTTTACTTCGAAAATTTGCACGTGCCAAATGAAGAAATGAATTTTTAAATTGTCGTTGCTGTTCAGTAATTTCCATTGCATTATGAAATGAATCCTCCATTAGACTTGAAATTGAACTCATCATACCACTTCCGAATGTTCCTATAGATACTTTATATAAATCAAATAATTCTGACGAACGATTTTGTGCAATTAACACAGCAGCCGATGATGAAAATTCAAGAGTAAAATTATTATCAACAAGATTATCGATATTAAGGGTTTCATCGGTACATTCAGTAATAATATATAATAGACGATCAGTTTCATACTTATTTATTTTATTTAACGATTCTTTAATTTCAGTTGAATGTATGGGTGAATCTTTCGATGAATCGATTTTCACAGTTCTTGGATCCGAAGAAGTAATAAATGCCTTAGCAAGATTAAAACTATGATGATAAAGAGGATGTGAACTTGATAATGTTGGATTGATAATTAAGAAAAAAACATAGTATGTTAAAGCATTATTAAGTTTTTTATCCCATTCATTGTCTATTGATCCTGAATCAAGATAAAGTTTTGATATCGATACAGTTTTCTTCAAATATTGTGCGTGTCGACTCATTTGAAATTCTTTCTCTTTATCTATGTTAAATAATGTACATTTAACATCGAATGAATCAGTAGGTCGATTGTTCAGCGTGAAAATGAACATATAATTCATTAAACAAGATGATGTTGGATAGAAAAAACGGGTTAATAATGCTAGAAATCTTGAAAATATCATTTGAATCTATTATTTTTGTGACCAGTTCGTTTTCCACGCTCTTCGAAACTTCTTTGCTATATCCTTGTATTTCATTCATTATAGATTTTTCTAAAACACCACTACATTTAGTAAAAATATTCTTCATAACAAGATTGAAGTCCTGCATTCTTTGAATGTAATGCTGTTGATGCATGATTGGTTCGTTCACAGTATTATAAGAAGCACCATCATCCGTCGACGATTGAATAGGCAGCTTTATACCAGTATAAAATGAAAATCTTTCCATGATTAAGTCAAAGAATTTGATATTTTTATAATAATTATTATCGTTAGGAATTGATGGATAATTATCTTTAGAAAAATTTTCGCGTTTTGTTAGTGACAAACGTTGTTTATCCAACAAATCTGATGCATAACGAGTTTTAATTAAACTAGCGACTACGTTGGTATCTTCGTTACCGTATCTTGAAAAATATGAATCACCCAAAGACATATTATGAATTTTGAAAATGTTGGGATTGCTGAACGATAGTTAATTGTATCAATGGTTAGAAATGCAATTCACTTGCAATATATTATACTACAACAAAACATCATCTATAGACTCTACCCGAAAAAACATAATTCCTCCTCCTCCCCCGATTAACTATCATGAAGATCTTATGCGAATTGTAAACTATTAGAATCGACTCTCTGATCTAAATATTATTTCAGTATAAATGTGTCTTAACAGTTGGATTGGATAATTACTTGGGGATGGGGTTTGGGTGCGGGTGTGAGTGTGGCTGTGTCTCTGTATGTATTGTGACTGTGATACTCACACCTACATCCAGACCCTCACCCACATTTACACCTACATCATCAAAGTAAAGTGGATCAATCGAGTAATTAGAACCAAATAGTATTTTACGTAGTACTAAAACTGTATTAAAATGCTCTTTTTTAGATTTAATATCTTCTCGCAATGTGTTCATCTATAAGGAGGGCAATTACTCTTTATCTGAGGATAGAATGGGAAAAAACAAGTCTTTTTGTGAGAATACGTACAAAAAACAAAGTGCGTTCAATGCTACTAAAGCGAAGAAAATCAAACTGCCGTTTCGATGGCTAGAATAGTGATAGTATCGACTGTCTGATGATAAAGAAAAGCGAGGAGAAAAAAATGCTTTGCAGTGCCTATAAGTGTACTGGCGATGATAAAAAAGAGGGTGGGTGTGAGTGTTATTTCTGAGATACCCACACCCTCCTCTAATGCTCTATAGGTATTCTACGGGTTTTCTAACACCTGATCATAGAATGCCTCGAAATGTTAAATCTGATAAACTATTGAAATATGTTCCATTGAATTTATGAAAACCGCACAAATATTGGAATGGTGCTTGTCCGATACCTATGCACTGAGCCAATTTTCGAGAGAATGCTTAACTGAGAGTCACTAGGGCGTACGCCATCTAGCTCGTTCAGGCAGCTTTAGTCAAGAATGATTCTCTTCAGTGTCTTTGAACCTTTGAGTATTCCTCTTTTTGTTTAATTTATTCCGAAGTTTTCGTGTAACTAATTATATATGAGACAATAATTAATAATATATTGTTTGAGTGAGAAAATAATGGTGAATGGAAGAAGATCTTTCTTTGAAGAAATCGATCACTCATTTATATGCTATTGCAAATTTTCACATGATCGACGAGACGAGATTAATGGATAATAAAAATGCCGAGACAGAACCTAACACAGCTAACTTTTGTAAAACGTGGGACGGGATAAGATAAAGAAAAAAATTATGGCGGGACACAGACCGGGACGACGCATTAAAACCTTATCCCGTCGATCTCTAATCCATAACTATTACATCGAACAACTGCATAAACGACAGTAATTATTCTTCATTATTATTAATACCAAAGGTTTCTTGTTCTTCATGAAATTTTTAATTAACTAGTTCATTAGAAACTCGATTACCAATCGATAAAATTTCGCTTCTTTTCCTTTACGTTGAAATCTCAAGTAAAAATCAAACACAACTTACACTTAATCGATTTTACCATTATCTTTACGACTCTTATGATACATTTTTAAAGATTATATATTATTAAGATTACTCTCTTTACTTTCAATATCAGTACGATATAAACTAAAACTTCATGACAAATTATTTTTATAATATACTTATTCAGAATTTCCCGTTACTTTTCCTCTATATAATTGAACTATTCTGATGAAAAACTCCATTTCTTAACTAATTAATTAATTCATTCTTCAAAAATCTAACCTTATTTTTTTGTGATTTGATAATACGATATAAAATAAATATCAATTAAAATTCAACTTAGATATAATGTTTTTTTCAAATATATGAGTATAATCGAGATGCGAATAATAATAATATATCAAAAATGCCGTCGTTATTTATCGGTTCTCTGGATTTGTACTTTGATTCTGTATACTATAGTTTGTGCTGAGAAAAAAATATTCGAGATAAGAATAGTTTCTATTAGCATAAGCTTGGAAGATATCATTTTCGTTTGTCTTGAATATTTTTCTCTCTCCGTTTGCTTATCATAAGAGAAAAATAGAGTGTAAGTATTAAAAAAAAGAGAAAAAAAAATCTCTTTAGAGAAGGATTATCTCTAAAAAATGATCATTAGAATAGTAAAGGTCAGATAAGAATTAGTACAATAAAAGAATATTATGACTGTCTGAGAAAAAAGAAATATTTTTAGTTATTTATTTCGAGATCGTTTAATTTGAATTTATTAATTTGCAAATCTTATATCGAAAGGTGTCTTTCAAACATTATTTTCAAAAAATCTTTTTGTGATGCCACTCCAAACATAGATCATTTTTGTAAATCTATCTAGTTTTTTCAGATAAGTGATCTAATAAAATATTTTATTTGAATTGATTGATCATACCACCCTTACCATCTTGAGGGTGTGAGTGTGAATGTGGGTGTGAGAGTGTGGGTGTGGGTGTGGGTGTGGATGAAGGTGGGTAAGTGAATGTGACTGTGCGTGTGAATATTATACCCACACCCACCCCAAAGCCACACCCACACCCTCAAGAGAGTGAGTGGGTGGATGGATGGGTGTGTGTATAGATAAAGATACAACAACAACAACACCCACATTCATACCCACTCACCCACACCTACACCCCAAATATAATTTCATTAAAAACACTTTGTTCAACACAAAATCATCTGGAGATGGGCGAGTGTCTTTCGCTTACTCATGCATCCCCATTATTCTAACAACCACATCTATATTCACACCCATATCCCACTCTCACATACACCCTTTACGAAAAAACGATTATTGATAGAACTTTATTTTCTTTTTTCTGATGATTACACATCAATCATTAGCATACTAAGTGATTAATTCAATTAGATAATGTATAGGACACAAATTAATCTATATACACTACTCTTTATCATTCAAGACCTTGTCCAATGCAATACAACAATCAATACAATTTGAACAAGATTAGTTATTCTGTTCTTATTTTTCCGACTTATTTTCTTTTTTAGATTCGTTTTCAACATGTTTGTTAAAATAACAATCGACGACTTCGGATGTTACAGTTATTTTTTTAATTTATAGAGGATATTCTAATATTTTGTGTTAGCAACGTAAGTATGTTTGTAAAAACCTTTTATACATATATATGTATATTTTGTATGTGTATTGTCACAGCGGTCGGCTATGCCCATTCCATTTTAATTACTTACAGAGATGTTCACTGTACGCGCGAGTAAGTAAAAATACAGTTATTTCTCTCTTGCATAAAGAAAATATTTGTTCATTTAGAATAACAATTATAATTTCTGTTTTACAATTTCAATCCACTCTTTTGTAGTTTTAAGATGCGGATGATTTGGTGGTAATGAAACATTGCGAATGTCAAGAGCACGTTGAAAATATGAGAGTGCTTTCGAATATTCTTCCATGTTATGGTACAGACTACCGAGATTGTTGTACGATTCGGCCAAATCAGGATGACTTGCAGGTAGGGTTTTTCCTTGAATATCAAGTGCTTTTTCGTAGAATGAAAGTGCTTTCGAGTACTCTCCCACTTCTCTATGTACCTCCCCGATGTTGTTGTAGGAAGTGGCCAACGAAGGATGATTTTCAGGAAGCGCTTTTTCTTGAATTCCAAGTGCTTTTTCGTCAAATGAAAGTGCTTTCGAGTACTCTCCCATGTTCTTATACACCTTACCAGTGTTGTTGTAGGAAATAGCCAACGAAGGATGATTTTCAGGAAGAGTTGTTTCTTGAATTCCAAGTGCTTTTTCATGAAATGAAAGTGCTTTCGAGTACTCTCCTATGTTATAATACACAATACCAATGTTGTTGTACGATTGAGCGAAATCAGGATGATTTATAGGAA